ATGCATTCATTTAATTCTACGATGTTATGAATGCAGTTAACTACATGAAGAAATCTTCGGAGATTGATTATTGGTGAGCGTTTTTAAATATTTCTCTGTAATATTTGAGCTCCCAAGGTGTACACTGTGGCAAAAAGAATCACGTAGTCGAAAAAAAAATGATCAAAAAAATCGATAGAAATAGCTGAGAGACGTGCGAAACAAAGACCCGCATGGTGTGGTGGTGAACGCGTTACTCCCCGGAGAGGATAATAGCGCGTTCGTTCCCCACCATAGACACCTGCGGTCCAGAGTTTTGCAAATATCTCAGCAACGTTGTGGTTAAATGTCTAATGTTATGGGAAATAGTAGACTTATGCATGTGATCATTTACGAGTCTGCGTATTGATTTTTTTTGGATCCTCGTTCAAAATATGCTCTGTTATTTAGTAGGTGATGCTATAACCATTAGATGGATGCATTTTTTTTTGCTCTCTGAATATGTTTATGTGTATTACACGGAAGCATTTCATTTCACACGGAACCAAGAAATATTGGAGCAGTATTCTTCTTTATGTAATCGAATTCTTTTCTATCCGTTATTTACACCGATTTTGCTCTTGTGGAGATGTCTGATGACATCTATTTATTTATTTCCGCGTCTTTCCTGGAGAGTTCTTCTCTCGGAAGCTCAACAGTTCCGTTAAAGAAAGTTTTATTAACTCCACATTACTGTTGTGAACTTCTTTTTGGTTCTCACTGCTGTCTGGTGTGCGTTGCCAAACTATGCTGGAAACATATGTTATTCATTAACAGTGTGTTTTGTAGAGCAGTAAGTGGAACCAATACTGAATTAAATAGATCGGGTATGGTTGTGTATTGTGTATTGAACCAGACCGAAATGGCCGCTTTGTGGAACCTTTTTTGTCCATCCGGCGAGCTTCTAGAGTGCTGAGTGCTCTCGAGTTCGTCCTGCTGTCATCTTTCAGCAATATAGAAAGAAAGCTGAGGCGATCGCAAACTCAATTGGGCGACAACTCTTCTCGGTTCATCTGCAGCTCTAATTGGGATGGGTGAAGGACGTAGATATTCAATTCAAGAATAGAGCACTCTTTATAACAGGATTCTCGAATCCTGAATGACAAGCTCCATCCACCTGATGAACAAAAACGACCTTCAACTCCTTCATAAATGCCGCCCTTGGCGAAGAGACTTTTATTTCAACCGCAAAAAAGGAGTGAAGTTTAAATTACGGTGTTTAACACTCTCCCGACAATATACCTACAGGTTTCATTTTCTTTCCCTTGGTTTGTTTTAGCACGTAAAACTAGTGTCCTGCACTTTTTATTGATAGTTGATAGCTTGTAGAACACAGATGTTGTACTGGACGTTGTACGAGAAAGACTCTATTCTGCACTTAGAAATATAGAAAAAACCGTTTTCCGAACAAGTTCACTAACCAGAAATTTGGATGCTAACTGACTACTGTTGCAGTTCCAATTGCTACAGTTGCTATAGTTATGGTATAGAGTATGGGGTATAAAAAGTACTGAATTAGAGACTCATAAGTTGCAGAACACTTCCAAATGCTGATAGGAACGTGTTTGTATGATGAACTGTAGTAATATTTAGCAAACAACACTCTTATTAAGTGTCATTGAAGCGTTTGGGTTAGTATGCTACATATCAATATACTCGTCCAGACTCTGAAAAAGGCGATATTGGCGAAACGTTAGCTGTCGCTGTGCTGTATGAGCTGTTTGTACGAAAGTAAACGTGTGTGTAACAACCTTGAGATTGCTGCAAAACAAAACGACACATTTAGTGAATAGCACCATAAATATCATTCATGGTAAAGCAAAGTCTTTCCTGCAATCCATGCATGTTCACAATCCGCGAAGACCTTTAGTTATCCAAAAATTACTGTTTGTTTTCAAAGAACCAGCATGTCCGTAAAGGTTGAAAATTAGTCGTCATTCGTCCCGCAATAAACCTAAGGTTGGGCATCATTGGTAAAGTGCTAAGTATTTGAATGGGGAAGCCTTAACATTCGCGCCAATTAATTGGAATCGTGAAATCCAATCGTGAAATTTTGTTTAATCTCAGTTTTTGAGCATGATCCATCACACCAAATGAGTGCCATGGTTTGCCTCTCTATCGGTCATGTTTTTACTTTATCAATGCTATCAAAGATCACCCGCGAACGGGAGTGATTTGGCGCGTATGCTATCCACTACACGAATGTGAGCACCCAGTAAGGGTGATCACGGGTTCGAAGCCCTCATGGGGTGCCAAGTTTTGCGCATGTATCATCATCCTTATGGTTGTATTTCATATTGTGCCCTGCCATGAAAAAAGATTAAGCAGTGAATAAAAGTTAAAGCATCATGACGAGTCTACCCATGCTTTTCGTTTTTATGGCTTTTCTTTGTCTTTCTAAGCTTCTCTGGCATTTTAGTGAATAGCTAATCCCCTTGAATTATTGGGCAAGTTTGCATGCTTATATTTCGTATTAATGTAAGAGTAGAAATGAAGCTGAAGTCTGCACATTGGTATAAAGTGGAATAATCTGCTAAATGTTAATGAGCTTCCAACAAAATTTTCGCTCGCCAAGTCCAAAGCTCTTTGTTTCATGTCTTTTTTTTTCTGAATATGTCCATGGGGCAGCTGTAGAGTAGTAGTTATAGGTGAGTAGCAATACACACATGATCCGGGGTTGGCCAGTCCGTATCAACTGGGAGGACGAGAACACGGTAGGCTTCCACAACTTACTGTATGTTACTGTATTGGTAAAGAATGGTTTGATTCGTCTCGGTTATTCTCAGAGGAGTCGAATGCATGACGCATCCCTTAGCGATTGGCACCGAGCGCTTTATCGCTTTTATCTTTAAGCTTATGTCAAAGTGGCTTATGTCACAGAAAGTTCGATGAACTAAGAGAGAAGAGTTAGTGACAATTTTCATCGGTTGTTTTAAACATAACCAACAACAACAAACAACAACTGTGCGCTTTCTGCCAGGTTAAGTCTGAGTGTTATGTTGCGAAGCACAGTTGAGAAGTCCGACGGTTGTAAACTCTTTGGTATCGGAATTCATTGTGTGAAGCGATGTTCTTTCAAGGATTCCTCTTTTTTTCGGGAGAGAAAGAAAAATGGGAAAAATCTCTTACTTTCTCCATTCATAGCCCTTGTTTCCTAGGTTTTCCTTTTTTTTCTCCTATTTCTCATCCACTATACCTTTCTTATACCAATATCAAGAGACTAATAAAAATTCGCCAACTTCCTTTTATATTCACAAAATCGCTTCCATCCTTCCAAGACGCCGTCTGTTCTTCAATTTCTTCTCCATTAAAATTTTTTTCGTAAAAGGCTGTTCGAAAATAAATGACAAAATTGTGGAGATAATGAATCTTTACTGAAAATACTGAAAATTAAGCGTAGAACTGGAGTGGAGCGCAATCATTTGTTGAAATTAAACAGAAATCCTTATTCTCCAAATAACTAGTTGATTTATAGTGTGGTGGAGAATTAGTTTCTGTCACCTTCCACTCTTTTTCGTTTTTCCTATATCATCAAGAAACTGTAGGATAGCGATTGCGCCTGGCGATACCAAACCGCTTCCACTTTGTTCCCAAGAACTAACCGGCCATAGCTCCCGGCCTTCTCATTGCACCATTTATACAAATTTTTAGTAGCAATAAGAAGAACTTTATTAAGTGAGTTATTAAGTGAAATGACGAAGACGCAGGGTATTTTTAGAACACCGTAGAGTCGATGGTTTCCTTCACGATATTGATGCATAATAAACGTTTCCTATCATGAATTTACTTGTGGGAAATGTCTCTTTTATTTTTCCAACTGTATCCCGTGTCCACGCTAAAGATTAGTGATGACCGAAAGACGGTTTTTGCAGTAAACACAAAATTCTTTCGGGAAAACTGAAGATTTGGACGTCCATTGTTGTTCACGATCAGTTTGCCACAGCCGTGTCGTTTTATTCTATCGTTGCACATTGCACAGCTACTGTATTCCATATTAGTTCTCATGAAGAGTGTTTATTGATTTATCTGTGCTGTGGACATAGTTGAAGCCGCTATTTTGAAGTTATAGTGGCAATAAGGAAAAGTTGTATCCAAGAAAACGAAAACAATTCCATCCAGTGCCTAGAATCCGATTTAATCTGCTTGAGTTAGAGCCAATTTGAAAGGGCATTTATAAAACTGAAAAAGTGGGTGTTTGAAAAGAGACCCAATGAACTGGGAGACAAGGTTATAATTTGAGAAATTTCTAAGGTTGAAATGCTGAACTGAGTATATTTTTATCCTTCATTTTGCTTGAAGTAAGGTTACCTGTAATGTTTCTGATTAGCGTCTTCCTAACGTAATTCATCATCTTCTGCATAATCATAGGTAGTCCCGTTCTTGTTTTCGTAATGTCCATGTTCGTTGACTTTCATTGTTTAGATTATCGTATTCTGCTTAGTACTTCCGACCCATTTTTTTTGCCAAAAAAGACGTCCTGCTGTTTTCTAGTTGAATTCTGGCTGATATTTTACTATCTGCTCTCGAGAATTCACTGTTTTACTGAAAACCATTTCCGAATATACAAAGATGAGAAAGTGTTGGTGCGATGCTACATGTTCTACGTCAGGCCAAGTAACGTCAGGGTTCGTCGTAATTGGATTCCAGCATTCAAAATGTTTTGCCGACTTTTCAATAGGAGCACTATTACTCAGTAGAGTTTTCCTTTTGTTGTTATGCTTCGGAACGACCATATTCGTGAATCAGTCGTTGTGGTTCTATTCAGTTTGGTTTTAGAATGAACGGATATCAAATTTTATGCTGAACTAGTGATGTGACGATCGTCACTGTGTTCGTTTTGTTGTGATGATTCCTAGTTGGCGGACGTTTTGAAAGATCACTATCAAGTGGGTATGCCGACGATATGCACGAAAAGGAGATGGTACCTGCCAAGAGGCATCATTAGGCGATCCTAAGCGGGGCGGAGCCAGCGTAGAGGAGAGTGGCGATGGTTCGCCTGGCAGTGGCACGGCGTGTCTACCTAAATACGCATTCTTGAATATTCGAACTTTTTTATCGTGTATTCACTTCTACAAACGCATCACATGCCATAATTCATTCTCGCCAGTCAACACTGCCACATTATCCATGGTGCCTGAGCGTTTGCTGATCATGCTGCATTTGCAGCTCATCACGGCACAGAAATCGCCGAGATTTCCAATCAACATTGTAGTTGGGCTGCCAAAGAATGAAGGCCACGTATTTAAGAATCCATTCAAACTGACACTGGCAAAGGGTCAGCCAGTGTTTGACGTGGCCGTCGAGGACGTGTATAACAAGCATCAACTAATGCCACCCGGATCGCTACAGGTAGTTTATGAGGATACTCAACTCAGCGATGCCATCGCACCACAACGAATGGTAGAACACTACTGCAATCGTTCAGTGGACGCAGTGATGGGCTTGGCATATGTCTATGCACTGGCACCAGTTGCACGAATGTCCGCTTTATGGCTGGAAGGGGTACCGGTGTTCACGACATCAGGACTAGTAGACGAACTGGGTGATCGAAAAGAGTTCCCGCTTCTCACTCGTATGATGGGTACCTACAGAACGTTGGGAAATCTGATGTATGAGATCGCTGTTTCGCTCAATTGGCATCAATTCTACTTTGTATTCAACGACGAAGCCGGCATTGAGGGTGGCAAAGGATTGCCACGATCCGAATGTTATTTTTCGTTGAGCGCAATTCGTAATCGCATTCAAAAGGAATTCGCCTGGCACGTAGACATGTTCTCAACAAAAAATGCAACTCGTGAAAAATACTCTGAGTTGTTGAAGAAGGTTTCAATGTTGAATAATGGTAGGTTTCATACCACTTTTCGTGGACATTGTTTTTTTATTTTATGGGTTATTTTGATTGGATACGGTGCAGCATTCTGAATGCGTAGAATTTAGTTTCTTTCATTACGCTATAAAATTCAAATAAGCGCATAGCGTTGTTTACGCCGCCGTAAGGCGAAGAGACCATGAAATTGTTTTGTCGTGTTTCTACCTGTTGGCCGAAATATTGTATATTCTTATTAAATTTTTTTCGTTGGAATCCTTCTTAAATAATCGATCACCAATTAGAAGATGATAGTGTTTACTCTTTTCAACATTCTGTGTATGAAGTTTCTTCCTATTGTTTCTTTTCCATCCACACTATTTCTACGCACAAAGAATTCTACACAAATTATTTTCCTCAACTTCACCTAATTGATTTCTTTTTAGATTTCATCGCGTCTTCAATTACATAGAAATGCCATGTCGGCTGTATATAGAAAAATGAGGTTCTAAAAAGTATTACGTCCTCCATTGCCGGCTTGAACGGCTTTTTTTTTCTTCCATTTATTGGAGATGAATAAAATGTTTGCCGTTATGATAGTCCTTAATTTGCTTAAGGGCTGCTGCATGCGAAACTTTGTGCCGTGCACATGGAAGTTGTTTTTTTTTGAGTTGATAGCTATTAGTTGGGAGCTATTCGATGGTTCCTGTAAACAAAGGCGCTTTCGAGTCCTTGGTTTTCCTCTCACATTCTTACGGCACTTCAAGTTTCACAATTTCTGGCCATCCCTTCATGGTTAGTTGCGAACCATCATTCTATTGGGCAATATTTGTGTTCTGCCGAAAAAATGCCGTAGTAGACTGAGAAATGTTTCCGCTCTAGTAATTGAATCAATTTACGTGACATTTGCGTGAAGTTACACTAGCCATCTTTCACATCAATTTTGCGGCTCCAAGTGCTTCTCACATTCGATTTGTTTCCTGTTAACCGTCATCCACGAAGGTACTTCAACTTTTCGCTTGCGGCTTCGGTTGCTGCTTGAGAATTTTCCCATCGATGTCGTTGAATGGTGGCCGAATCGATTCTCCCTGGATAGCAGGGCTAGAACGTTCTCACTTTGATTGCAGGGAACGAACTTTTCTCAGACCAGTCTACTATCAATTTCTCAACCCCAGAAGGATGAGAGTCATGTTGGAGCTGGTACGGCGTCGAACCAGAAACGTGCTCGTGATAACTAATTGGCGTCATCACCACTGCAGTTTCCACCCCACTTTTATATGCACGTTCTTTTACCGGCAAGCTACTCTAAGCTATGACGATTTTGATAAGTTCGTCTTTGGTAATACTTTAGTTTGGTTGCTCAAAAGTTTCCATTAAGCAATTCTTAACGAAGCGCCAATTCAGTTAGAAACGGCCGTCGAGCGCAACAGCATTCTTCGTCTATGCAAAAAACTCGACCATGTTTCTGGTGTAAGTTGCGATGAGACGGCTAGTAACCAAATAGAATTTTACGATTTATAACCCGACATCATAACTTTCTTCAGTCCATAGGGAGTAAAATATTACTGGTAAACTAACCTAATCTTTCACCGTTGTTGATGTGATCTCAGTTGAGTTATAATTATTTTCTCCGGAAATTAATTTCCGTTTTCAAAGTGTATTTCCAAAGTAGTAGCTCTAAGCTCAGAATGAGCTTTATTAATCGAAATAGGAACTATTGGCAAATATACATTTTTAATAACAAGGAAGAAGTTCATTCTTAGTGGTCGCCCAAAATTCTGGACTTCTGGAGGTGATGAATTCATTTAAAGTTTTGGCCGTGACTAGGTTTCTGAAGCATTTCTAGCACAGGAAGCTGTCGAGATGTTTCGAGAAGTGGTAGTCGGTAGACGAAAGGTCTAGCGAGTATGGTGGATGAAGCAGTGTTTCATAGCCTAGGTCCAACCTTTGCAGCGTCAGTAGTGCGGCGTGTTAACAGTTCGTGCGCTATCTATTTGTCGAGCATTTTCGGCTTTCAACTCTTTTAAGTGCTCCAAAACAGTTGAAATTCCTTGTCGACCACTCGTGCATGTATTTTCTTTCATCAAAACCTTCAATTCAACGTCATCAATAGCAGACGGACATCCTATTTAAAAGATCCAATTTGCCATGCCGAAATTTCCCAACCCAACGTTGCACTCTGCTTTCGATCAACACTTCCTTGGCGCTTTATCTCATTTATGGTTGGACCTCTTCGGCTACACACTTCATAGTTTAAATTCATAGAAGTAGATTTGACGATATTCCAACATCTGAAATTCTATGCTTCAAAATCTTTCAACAACAGGATTTACATTATAAATGAACAATGCGGAGAGAAATTGCACAAAATGAGCTTTGCAATGGTACATAAAAGTGCAGCGTTCTGGAAAAAATTGATATATACAAGGGAAATAGAAATGCAAGTTGGATTTCCGTTGAACGTAATAATTATGATCTTAACTCTTTTATTTACTGCCTTCTTCTTCTTAATGGCAGGTTATGTTTCGAATTATAACTCGTATGAAATGCTGAGATATTTGCAAAGCTCCGGACCACAGGTGCTGTTGTCCTTACCGGGGAGCAGCGCACTTCACCACTACACCATCCGGACACGCCGCTAGCTTACCACTCGATGGACCAGCTCAAATCCTGTATATCCAAATATGCTTTGAATCATCTCTAAGATGTCAAGAATGAATTCGAATACATGACGGATTCCTTAGGAATTGATCAACTCTGGGCACTTCATCCTTTATCCTTGTGATCCATAAAAAACAAATCATTTCTTTTTTTGAGAAAAACACGTCTGAATGTTGCTCTCACTTTCTTTGCCAGAATTTTTCAAATGAAACTTTTAATATGTTGCTGCTAAAGTTTTGCTCATAATTGTAGCAATTTTTATACTTTGCTTTTTTTCTGTTTTCGAACTTTTATTTTCAGTTAATTTTTTGTTGCTCACTGTTGCTGTTGCTTGTTTGTTTTTGTTTTTTTGCCCTGTTTCGACTACCATTCTATACCTTATAACTTTATCCTATACTTTATACACCTTTCCATCTCTTTTCTTTTCAAGTACTTTTGTTTTTGTTTTCGTTGTTTTACTTATTTTGTTTTATATTTCGCGTGAATCTTCTTCACATAAAGTGCAGATTCCAGCACTTCTGTTCAGTTGGTTCCTCGACAGTGCCGTTGAATGTTAGCTTCCTACAATCCCGAAACAGCTCTAATCCTGTGTTTATGGATCGGCGGGAGGTTTTCAAGGGATGTTAACATCAGGTTTCCCAAATTTTTCTTCCATAGAAGTCCATCTCAGGCAGGAAAACCGGCAGTCTTTTCTCGAATTGTCCATTACAACGAGGGTAATCTACGATTCCTGAAGTTACATATTTAGCTGTTATCTTTCATATGCTCTTATCCAGTACTTAATTTCCTTCTCTTTCATTCGCAGTACGTATTCGATTAGTTTAGGTCTTGAATTCATTGGTCCATGTCATTCGTTCATACTCTCTGCTTTCTGAAATTTAGAAATATCCTATTTCTGGCCATTCCTCCGATGCCAGTCAAATGTAAACATTCGAACGACGAGAAACTCTGCACACGAATACTAAAACGAACACCGTTTTAGTCTAGTGATGTGTAGTAACTGAAAACACGATGTTGAGTATTTCTTGGTTTGTTACCTACTCGACGTCATTGCTGATTACGAACTACAATTCCATTCTCTCAAGGATTACCATTTGTGGCTGGTGTTTTTCGCAACGTCGTCACATCAAATTGGCTGTTGATTGTTAAGTGTTCGTCACACTTTCTGTGCAAGAAGGGTTTGATTTCCGTTATATAGAGGACGGCTTTACTTAATCTTACAAAAACATTGATTGGGAGCCTTTTTTATGATCATGGTGCTGAAACATGTTTAATGTATATCTCACGAGACTTCGATTTGAACTCTACCATTAGATCAGAGAAGAAGCCTAGAATATTATCAACAGGCTTAAGTACTTGCTTATTTCATTAAAAATGTTAAGCAGCATCATATATAGGTTGGAAGCACAAGTAATCAGATTGTATCGTTTTCTCAATCAGTTGAAAATAGCTGAAAACATGAATAGAGGTTACTCGTATCCTCTCCTTCTACGCCACATACTTTTGTTTCCAGAAATCGGGTCAAATTCTTGATTTCGTCACTTTCAATTTTTTGCCCTCATCATCTGCCTTCTTTTTTCGTGCTTCCTTCATCTTTCTCTGTCCTTCTCTCTCTTTGTCTCTCTCTCTCCCTTTCTCTCTCTGCCCGCTCCTCTGAGATTTTTCTGTAGTATTGAATAAAAACGAGTTGCGCAGTTCTTTTCTGCTTATTCATAAAAATAATGAGAAGTAGGAGGGCTGTGCAACTCGTTGTTGTTGTGGTTTAATCCTTATCGATGTCAGTGTGTTCTCGACACTTGTCAGAAAGTACGAGTCGTGCCATGATATGATTTGCTTTAGACACACAACCGGGGTGTTTCTTGTGTGAGATATTAAATAAGCTCCGAGCTATAATTGGTTGTAATGAGAGCGAAGTGTTTAAACGAGAAAGGAATTCGATCGCCTTACGTTTTCTCGGCATGTTTTGCTATTTTCTCTTCACCTTAATCAAATTTACCTGTTAGATGCAGATTTCGCAAGATGTGAAACGAAACTTCATATCATGGAGCTTTTTTTTTTCGAAAATATGCATATTTCCTCTATTGCTGTCAAATGCTGGCTGTATAACGGAAACCAAGCCACAATCCGTATGTTTTAGTAGTTAATTTATTACTGGTAATGACGCACTTCGTACGAAAGTCACCCTGTCTCTTTTCACAGCAACGGTGGACACTTAGACGTCTGCAAAATTCCTGAGCAATTTTACCCAGCACCTTTTATGTTCAACAAAATTGTCATTGTATATCCGTTGATGTATGCTCAGCCGCGTCATGATAGGACTATGGATGACAACGAATTGATGTCGACAACTACTGTTTCCGTTTAGCAGACGACCGCCTGGCATCAGTGTGAAGGGAACGGAATGACATTCAGAAGTCAACTACCATTGGCTAGCAGTGTTTGTGGCTCGTAGTAGGGCGCTTATTATGGAGACCTTTATGAAACTGGACAAAGAAGCCTAAGTAAGGGATCGGGTTATTGTCCATGATTGTCGCAAACTCTGCCCTCAGTAGTGCAGAATGCTACGGCAACAATCGTTATGCATCTCTGACGAACTGATATATGTGAACCTTTGGATTATATCAAAGTTCACGCAACACTGAATAATTTGCTTAATCTAGTCTTGCATGTTTCCAGAAATACAGTTGCATTGTGAAAAACAATTTATTGTGAATGATTTTTCTAAGCAAAAGATGAATCACATGGACCCAGATTTGTTTCACCAGCAACAGCTGGTTATGCATTGCTGTGTTTTGAGACCACATGCCAATCAGTTGTATTGTGCGGTCGACACTCAATCTCTGATCGTTATTTGGTAAATCCTGCTTCCACTAAGGTTTGAAGTGAATATGGACTTATAGTTGCCGATTTTCTCTGATGAAATATCCGTGTCACTAGGCTTCTGGATAATCTAGACCAATTTGAAATGTCTTAATAGTGATTATTATCGTACTTCACATAGCTGCGTATTCTAAGAAGTCAAAAGTGTCAGATTCCTATTCAATTTAGTGTTGTGTTACGCAAACGCACTGAAGTTACGGCGGCATCAAATCAGAAACAATATGAAATCATTGTTTAGTTAACGCTAAAGTGTGGTGATGATCTTTACAACCTTATGTCTAAATGTGAAGAATGGTTAATCTCCTAGTAGCTTGAATAAGCAGTATCGAAATCAACATTCGGCCATGTCACATGTCAGAGTTACCTAGGGGGCTACATTTCATTGACGGATGTGCACAGCCTCATACTTTTAGTACAGAACCTACTATTTTCAAGTATGGAACCTATACTCGCAACGGTTTACCGCCTTATCGTGGCTGGGAAGTGTTCCTGGGTGTTTGGCTGCGATGTACAACGGGGAGGGGATTCGTCCGACCGGCAGGGTCTCCTAAGCTGAGGAGTTCGGAGTTTCCTTCAGGAAGCCTAGCTAAGAGTGAACCAATACCAGAATCTACCACCGTCCTGGTATCAAAGTGGCATGGTGGCAAATCTCCCTCTGATCCACAAGGGTTGCGACTGCCTGTGGTGGTGAAAAGCTGGGGTAGACTTTGGCCAGGCTGACCTCGGGATTCCAAGAAATCATAACGCCTTAACCAGCAAATCTCCGAAACTTGGAGATTATGCTGTGGCCCGCACAGCCAGTGAGCATGGGCCGTTCAAGTAAGTGTCAAGTAAGATGGAACCTATTATTATATAGTATAACTAACTATTATAATCTATAGTAAAGGTTTTATTATTTCTGCTGCTTCTGACGACAAGATAAGCATGGATTTCTCGCCGAGTTCTACTTATTGACGTTTACCTTAAGCCGCGTCTTAAAT